TTCACTGAGCCTTGAGGGAATCACTGAGCTGCTGTTGTTCTTCACAGTTAGAAGGTGGGAGCTCTCGTCAAATGATGATCTCCAGCATCATCTTGTTCATGCCAGGCTTTTCATCCACTGACCACAGACACCTGTAAACATCAGGAGGACCAGTAGCTGTTTAACACATTTAGAAAGAAACCAGTGAGATTTTAATATGATCATTATGATATGATGTTATGTGGGGTGTGGTGGCGCAGAGGTTAGAAGACGGGCCTGTGATGGGAAAGTCGCAGGTTCAACTCCCGGTACTGTCAACATCAAAATGTGGGTGGAAAAGGAGAAACACCCACACCTGCCTCCACCCTCATTGGCCCCACTCTGGGCCCCTGAGCAAGGCCCTTAACCCCCACCATCTGCTCCTAAACAGGTCTCTCTTGAAAATGAGTAAGTAAGTAAATAAAGTTTATTTATAAAGCGCTTATCACAGACGGAAAATCACAAAGCGCTGTACAATAAAAATCAACGTTAAAATATACAAAGAATAAAACAAGCATAAGAACTACAATAAGCACAGTAAAATCATGACATAAAAGCCTGGGAGAATAAAAGTGTTTTCAGTTGCTTTTTAAAAACTTCAACAGAGTCAGCAGAACGAAGTTGCAGGAGCAAACTGTTCCACAGCCTTGGAGCCACTGACTGAAAGGCCCTGTCCCCTTTAGTTTTCTGCCGTGTACGTGGAACATCCAAGAGGTTCTGTGACTGGGAGCGAAGACCACGAGCAGCAGAGTATTTGGTTAAAAGCTGACAAAGATACACAGGAGCCTGGCCATTTAAAGCTGTGTATGTCAGCACAAGAACTTTAAAATGGATTCTAAACTTGACTGGGATCCAGTGCAGTGAATATAGAACCGGGGTGATGTGACAGTATTTGCTGGATTTGGTGAGAAGTCTGGCAGCTGAGTTCTGTATTACTTGTAGACGTGAAACAGAAGACTTGTCCAGGCAGGTAAAAAGGTCATTACAGTAGTCCAGACGCGATGACACAAAAGTGTGAATAATTTTCTCTAGGTCAATTCTGGAGACCATAGGTCGTATTTTAGAAATGTTTCTTAAATGAAAGAAACAAAAACGGGAAATAGCTCTAATGTGAGACTCAAAGCCTAATGATGAGTGAAATGTGACTCCTAAATTTTTTACTTTTGATTTGGCTACTGGGCAGAAAGAGGCAATTTTCTGGTAGATTTTTTGGGTAAAGATGACTGGGAGCAGTAATCAAAGGCTCTGTCTTACTGGTGTTTAAAGCCAGGAAGTTACTGGCAAGCCAGTCACTGATACAGAACAAACATTGGACAAGGATGGCAAACTTATCCAGCTGGTGTGGTTTAAATGAAAAATACAACTGAATGTCATCAGCATAAATGTGATAGGAAATATCAGAAAAGGATTGAATAATGCCAGCAAGTGGGATAATATAAAAGGAAAACAAAAGTGGACCCAGAACTGAGCCTTGTGGCACCCCACAAGTTAAGGGGGCATAATCAGAGGAGAACCTGTCTGTCTTGATGCAGAAAGTTCTGTGAGATAGGTATGATGTGAGCCAGTCCAATGCTGAGCCAGAAATACCAGCCACAACTTTCAGTCTGTTTAATAAGGTTGTGTGGTTGACGGTATCAAAGGCAGCACTAAGGTCTAACAGGACCAACACAGAGCATTTTCCTTCATCAGCAGCCATTAACAGATCGTTGTGGACTTTTACCAGAGCAGTTTCAGTGGAATGGTGTTTTAGAAAACCAGACTGAAAGGGATCAGAGATCTGTAACTGACAGAACCAGGATCTGAGTTGGGTTTCTACAACTTTTTCAAGTAATTTACTGAGAAAAGGCAGTTTAGAGATGGGACAGAAATTGGAAAGGGAGCCAGAATCAAGGTTAGGCTTCTTTAAGACAGGGGTCACTTCTGCTGTTTTAAAATACGATGGGACGAACCCTTTATTCAGGGAGTTGTTAATTATCATCAACACTGTTGGACCAATACAGGCTAGAGTCTGGACAAGCAAAGAGGGAGGCAATATCTCCAGTGAACAAGTAGAAAGTTTCATTTTGGCAATTAATGATGTCAGGTCATTTAAAGTAATTGGAACAAAAGAAGAAAATGACTCAGAGCACTGAGGCTCATCTTGAAAAATAGAGGAGCTTGGAGATATATTGGATTTCAGGTCCATCACCATCTTTATGAAAAATTTGAGAAACATGTTACAGTCGTTGTTTGAGGTTAATGAAGCCTGGTGCGCTGGAGGAGAAACAATACTGCTGATAGTATCAAATAACACTTTAGGATTGTTTTTGTTCAGGTGAATAAGACTGCTAAAATACTATGACCTGGCATCACTAACTACCTTGTTATAAGCACCAAGGAGCTCCTTAAAATATTCCCGGTGGGCAACCAGACCAGTCCTCTTCCACAAGCGTTCTGCTTTACGACAAGAGCGCCTGAGTTCTCGAGTTTGATTGTTTAACCAAGGTGAACAGCGGTAAACGGGCCCACAGTGGGTTTTGTAAGGAGCAATACTGTCAAGAATGGTAAAGCGGTGATCATTAAAAGAGTCAACCAGAAGCTCCACATCATCGTCATCATCAGGAGGTGTTGTAAATGAAAAGAGGGAAGAAAACTCTGTGACTACAAAACTGTCAATAAAGCGTCTGCACGTACTGGTAACCTGAGAAAACGTCTCCAAATAACAGGAAATATTAAGAGACAACCTTATGGTCGCTGAAAACAACATATTTTATATGTAGATTATTGAGAGTGAGTCCATAAGTAAAAACCAGGTCTAAAGTGTGGTCTGCAGTGTGAGTAGGCTCAGACACATGCTGTGAAAAATTAAAAGAGTCCATAATATTAAGAAAGTCCATAGCAGGATGGTTTGTTGGATCATTGACATGAAAATTAAAATCTCCAGAGATGATGATCCTATTTAGCTTCACTGTAGAAGATAAAAAGTCCTGAAAGTCTGAGAGAAAAGATGAAGCAGTTCTCTTGACTCAATGAGACTGCCTGTATAAATAACAAAGGTAAATGAAAAAAATAAAAGTTTAAAATAGAAATACTCACATCATTAGGCCGAGGTTGTGTGTGTGACGTGCTCGTTCCTGAGAGTGTGTGTGTGACGTGCACGTTCCTGAGAGTGTGTGTGTGACGTGCACGTTCCTGAGAGTGTGTGTGTGACGTGCACGTTCCTGAGAGGCCACAGACAGAGCAGCTCCAGCTTTTGTTGAGTTCCTGTAGTCCTGCAGTTTTCAAGCTGAAATGAAAAAACATAATGAATATGAACTTTACAGTCTATAGTTACCTGTTCATATAAACACATGGAGGTGTCTCACCTTGTGACTGACAATAAAATATGTAAATTTATGAACGTTAACGAACTTATAATAATGCTCCTACTCTTTGAAGGTGAACCTATGGTACCACACCATCTCTCAGTTGGACAGTCTGATCAGTTTGATCAAAATCCTCCAGTTTAAAATCCTCAGATGAATCCTCCTCAAAGATACTTCCACCTCTTCCTCACATCTTGTTCTTTGGGAAACCTTCAAAATGAAAACAGGAGATTTGTGTCTACACAAAAACATTGTACAGAGGTCAATCTTATTTTCTATTTCCTATATTCTCCCTATTTTTTTATTTTTTTAATATCCTAGAGCTTAAATAAAATTCCAGTTTTGATGCACATCTGTTGATAATGAACCAAAGCTACTGAAATAGTGAGTATGCTTGTTAGAAAAATATTCCTGTCATCAGATCTCAGTCAGCTTCATTGCAGCTGAACACCGAGTTACACTGAACATCACATCAGCTGGTGGACATAAATACAGTACAGTAATATTATATTCACAAAATACTAACAATAATATGTTCATCTTACTTGTGAAAAGTTATCCTCCGAGACCGGACGTCAACAGTCCGTCCATTAGAACAGAAATAAGCTGCGAAGTGCTGAGACATCCTCTGCTGTAACCAAATAAGGACGACTGCTCCAATATGGCGGCCGAAATTCCTGCGCCGCAGCAGCCAATGCGGGATCTAGTGTTTATATCTATGGTGACACCTGCCACCGGAAGTGCCACTAATACTGCCACGGTGACACCTACCACCGGAAGTACCACTAAGACTGCAACTGCCGTGATTTGCGCTCGGCCCTTCTGGGAGAAGCTTCCAGATGCTCGTTTTTGAGAAAGTTCCGTTTAAAAACAGAGTCAGACCTGCTCCGTCTGTCAGAGTTTTTAATTGATCAGTAAATCCGAAAATGGACGACGACGTTGAGGTCCGGGATCTTGAAGATGACTCGTCTGCGGGTCACGGGCCCCTCAGGAACCAGGACCTGTCTCATCTGAGTCTGTCCGGTAAGAAGTGACGCGTCAAACTTCGGAACATGACGGAGACATCACGAGGAGCTGTCTGAAGGCAGAGAGCTAAACGTTCCTGATAATTAGAGTTTAAATCTGTCAGAAGGCTTCACTTCTGACCATAACCTGTTTGATGGTGTTTCCCTGCAGCTGCAGATGTTCTGCTTCAGTACGGCTGGTACCTGCTGGCTGCCACCTTCATTGTCTACCTGCTCATCCATCACCTGAGGAGGAGGACCAACAGGTCCACAAGCCAGGACCAGAACCCACACACTCAACAAGGTACTAGTTAGTTCTTAAACACCCTCGTCAGGTTCTGAAACGTCCAGAAGGACCTGGTTTGTGGGTCTCGTAGTGAATCTTTGTTTAGTTTTTGTCATGAACTCATATTCAGTTCTGTTTTGGACCCTGCAGAACTTTAGCACGCTGCTGGTATTCAGTAAAATATCTGGTCGTCGTTCTGCAGATGCTGTGTTTGTAGCCAGGAGACAGGAGTCCATGGAAGCAGCTCGGAGGAAGATGCAGGAGGAGCTGGATGCTAAAGCGGCCATCTTTAAAGAGAAACAGAACCAGGTCCGGCACCAACCAGAACCCTGATGGTTTCTGCTCAAACTCGGAGCTGAACGTTTGTTTGATTCTTTCAGCAAGAAGAGGAGAAACGACGGCAGAAGATCGAGAACTGGGAAAGCATGCAGCAGGGGAAGAGCTGCAGAGGAGCCGGGGTGGGTGACTGCTGGTTATCAGAACTAGACGCTTCACAGAACATCTGGTTCTGAACAGGGATGGAGAGACAGGAGAACAGAACCAGCTACATTCAGTTTGTTCTGTCGGTTCTGCTCTGAAGTCTTGATTAATGTGTCTCAGCTGCAGACCAGTGAAGAGGCCAGCTCATCATCATCAGAAGTACGGAAACCAAAGACAGACAAAAAGCCTCTACGCAGTAACGGTAAGTTCTGCACCGCATCAGAACCATTGGTGTTTGTTATTTCCACAGACAATCTGCTGCAGGTGGGACAGAAGGTGGACTCTGCTGAGAAGGACGAAGATGGTTTCTGTGTCACGTCTGAAACAAAGATCCAGCAGTCTGCGTTCTGGTCCACTCTGTGTTTGAGTAACGTGTCCTGGTTCTGTTTCAGACTACAACCCCCTGATGGGCCGAGGAGAGAGCTCCTGCTCCTGGAGACCTGGGAGGAGAGGACCATCAGCAGGTGGATGAGGTTAAATGTTGGAGGTTCTGGTCTCATGACCTTTGACCTCTCAGCCTGTAAAACTCATTGACTGTTTGGACCAAGCTGACAATGAACACAAGTGACCTTTGACCTCTGACCCCCACAGGTTATACTTGTTTAAAAATCAGTTAAATAAGTAAAAACTCACAAAGAAAAACTTTAAAGAAATCTCAGATCCAGAGCAGGAAGAAAACACTTGATTCTTTCATGACAGAAACAAACGAGTTCTGCCGGGTTTCCACCTGGTTCCAATCCAGAGTTCTGACCAGTTCTGAAGAGAGGAAAATGATTGAGTGGGACGGTTCATCACAGAACCAGGACACGGTTCCCTCCTGATCCAAAGATGTGGTGACGCAGAACCAAATTCAATCAGTGTCAGACTGACTTCATGGAGGGAAAACTCACCTTCGACCTTTAGGATAAAATCCTTCACCAACCAAACGAACACTTCCTGAAAAAATGCATGGCGCCAGCCCCCTCACTCGTGGCCCCGCCCCCTCATGCCCAGCCCCGCCCCTTCACACGTGGCTGTTTCCAACAAATGTTAACTCTTGAGTTCTGAAGGTTTTGGTCAAACCGTGAACTAATCATCCCCTGTGATACGTCAGAGCCCAGAGTGTGTTGAGGATGACGCTCAGCTACTACCACCAGACTTCAGCTCCACACCTGGAAAACTGACTGAGGTAGACATTTTTGTGCTTGTTAAAGGTCAGTTAGTTGTGGTGGCCATCTTGCATCAGGTCAACACCTAGCTGAACGTTCAGTGAGTACTTTCTGAGCATTTCATTCAAATCTGTCCAGTTGTTCATGAGATGTTTTGCTAACAGACCGACCAATGAGCATACACAGACAAACCAGGTGTATGGGTCTCTGAACGTTTATATTCATGTAAATTTGCAGCCCCACAGCTAACGGAGCGGTCGATCTGTGGGCTGGATTATGATCTTCCACAGATTATGATCTTCCCTGCAGGCTGCAGCTTTCATCTTGGTTTGAGGCTTGTTAAACTCGTTAAGCCTGCAAAGGATGATTTCATCAGAACGTTTCTCTGCATCACTCAGAGGTTCTGAAGGAAAAGTTAAAACCTTCCTGCAGCTTAAACAAACTCCGATCTTCTGTGGTCTCCAGCTGAGGCAAAGGGGGACAATGTTTCTGTCTGTGTGTGTTTTTGCGCCCGTTAGCAAAGTGTCATGAACCAGTGGAGAGATTTGGATGAACGTCTACAACAGATTAACGTCTGTAATCAACCCAAGATGGCCGCCACAGCCAATCAACATTTCAGTCAGTTTTTCAGACACTGAGCTAAAGTTTAGTGTGGTAATGGAAGAGAATGTTCCATAACAAAAACTGTGGGTGATCAACCAAACACTCTGAACTTCAGAACTCTGTCCTGAAGGGCGGCGGGTGATAGGCATTCCTTTAGTTTAGTACTGATAATCAAATGTTAAACAAAGTTGTTTAAAACATGAAATTATTTAACGAAGTGTGAGCCTATGTCCACTTACGGCGCTGCTTGATAATTTGAGTATTTTCTGTGTTTGAACTTCCTGTTTGGGGTCAAAGGTCAGGTTCTTGTGCAGTTGGAAGCTTGTCTTGAAGCTGCTCCTGGAAATGGTTTTTAACCAGCAGGTTTGGCCGATCAGGTCCTCAGTCAGTGTTTTGGTTTGATAACCTTCAGTAGTGATTAGTCATGACGTCCATCACGGTCTCAACGTGTGACGTCTCGCAGTTTCATGTTTAAAACTACAAGAACGTCCTCATTTGTTGTTTCTGTTTATGCCATAGTCGAGTTTTTTTTTTTTTTTTCTTCAGTGAAACACGTCGACCAGCACAGAATTATTGAGTTGGACTCGTGAAGTTAGCGTAACTCTTGACTGAGTATTGCTGAAGGCAGAATTGTTTCTGAAAGTTTGTGCAATAAGATGAAAGAGAACCGTTTAGTTTCAGACGGGTCCTGCTCCAACACGCCTGCTTTAAATGGAACTCGGACCTCGTTAGGTTCTGCAGAGGTCTGTTAACGACCCGGGTCCTGCTCCAACACGCCTGCTTTAAATGGAACTCGGACCTCGTTAGGTTCTGCATAGGTCTGTTAACGACCCATCAGATTGACGCAGACGAGTCAGAGCAGAAAACACCTGGAGGACAGCGGCCCCCGGGTCCCCGACAGGAAGTAACTTCATGCTGTTAAAGTTTCGATTCAACAAGTTTCAAATAAAACAGATTCAGTTACGTTCCAATAAAGAAAACATTTGGTTTAGAAGAAAAACAGTTTCATTATTTAGAAATGAGACGTTACATAAAATGTTACAATTCTTTATTTTTTTTTAAAGCAGACAAACCGGAAACTTCTTGTCTTGTTTTCTGAACCAGTTAAACATGTAAAAACTGTTTGATTTAAATAAAACTTTCATTTGGACTGATTTTGTGTGAGCTGCTCTTTATTCTGTCCACTCTTTAAACTTTTAAGCGTAACCAAAAACTGACGTTAAATCTTTACAGAGAAATGTTTAATATTTTTTGAGTTCAGAGAATTCTTTCATTTCTATTCTGAGACAGAATGACGTTAAAATAAAACTAACTGAAAACTAAAAATTAACAAAATATTTTCTTTAGGGTTAATTTTAAATATAAAAATTTTAAGGGTAATGTTTATTAATTCATTCAACCTTTATTTATATATAACCTTTATTTATTTATTTAGTTAGTTTTTACGTAAATTTCATATGAATGTTTATAGAAAAACTAAGTGGGGAAGAAAAATCTTCAGCTTATCATTTTACGCAAGTTTAAAAATAAAGATTTGTTGAATGTTTTTAATGATAGTTTTTTTGTTTTTTTCGTAGTTCTGATCAACGTGTGACGTCATCACGGAGCCGGCCACAGCGTAGCTACGGAAAGCGTGTTAGACCAAAAATCTTGTAAACCTTCCTATATCGGCGATAGACATTTATCACCAATTTAAGAGAGAAATCAGCCGTGAATCATTAAAAAAAATCTGAAATAAAACAAAAAGAGGAAGATTTGTCGATGAGTGGAGAGTCCGTCCGTGTTGGACAGCTAGATGATCGGTGGGAGGCAGCGGAAGATAACGGTTCAGGTGGCCGCTTCAAGGAGACAGACCGCTGCGATGCTACGTAGGCATCTGGAAGAAAAGGGCTTTTAGTGGAGGCAGTTTTCTGGAGTCACTGCTACTCCGTTTAGCCGTTTTTAGGTTTTCTATTTTAGCCTCTGGATTTTAACTAATTTACTTTTTACACCAAAATTGTTTAGCAAACTAAGGATTTAAACGGAGTTTTGTGGAATGGCAGGTCGAAGTAGGAGAGCGTGGTTCAGTGTTCTGTTGGGTCTGGTTGTCGGCTTCACCCTGGCTTCCAGGCTCATTTTACCCAAAGCCACCGAGCTAAAGCGAGCCGGACAGAAGCGGAAAGTCAACCCTGCAGCCTGTGGGCTGAACGGGGCTCTGAGAAAGGAGCACGGCGGGGCTCCATGGGCGCCACAAGGGAACGGTTCACCGACCGACAAGCCAGGCTCCGGGAGCAACAATTTCCTGTTCGTCGGTGTGATGACGGCCCAGAAGTACCTAAAGAACCGAGCCGTGGCAGCACACAAGTACGTCACTGTTTTATCTGAAACGATTACAGGGTTTTAATCCAAACTAAAGATGTTTTTATGAAAAAGTTCCCCGGAAGGACGGACTGTTCAACTCAGGTCTGTAGCTCACTAAGCTAACGGCTTAGCAGAAACACGTCCTCCAAAACCTTTTGTCATAAATATCCAGTTGTTTTTGTCTTGAACTTTTTTGAATTTACCTTTTTATAGTAAATACCAACAAACTTCGATTTAAAGTGTCACATATAATGTCAAGTTACAGGAAACTAGCCATTTTAAAATGATCACTTCTTAAATATACACTCCCTAACAAATCCATTCTTTCAAGTTTTTTATACTTTATAAAGTGATGCCATCTTCTATCTGAAGGAAATTACCTTTCTGTCCTATGTTGTGTGTTATCCCTTAAAATTTTACAAAATACAAATCAGTAACAGGAAAAAAGTACAATAAATACAAAGATAATTTCAATTGAAAATAGAACACAAGAACATACAAGTTTACTTATGACAAAAACTAATACACCATGGCCACAATGTCAGAATACTAATAGGGGTGGGCGATATGGCTCAAATATAATATCATGATATTTCAGAGCATTCTGACGATAACGATAAATTTCGTGATATAACAAAAAAAAAACAAAAAAAAAAAAAACAGAAATCATAGTTATTTATTTGACAAAATTAACTTAACATGTTGCTTTGCAGTATAATATAAAAACTAAAACAAACAAAAAAACAAGGGTTAATTTTACTGAAATTACTTTATTTAGTAAAGTATTCAGTCTCAAAGTATAAAAATAAAAGTGATCCTTTTGTTATTTAGATTGAAAATGTATGCACAAAACATAGATAAACAAAATCCACCACAAAAACTAAATTGCAGGTGAAGTTTTCCCAAAATAACTAAATAAAATGAAGCTTACGATCTGTTGGGCATAAATGTAACATAAAAGAAACGTATGTTGCTTTTAAACGAGCTATAACTTCGAGAACAAGGTGATCAGCTGACCCTGAAGCTTGTTGGTGTCTCAGCTTCCTCTGTTTCTGCAGGAATGATTCATTTCTCTGATGCTCTGTCTTTCATCACCTGACTCTGTTCTTGATCATTGGACTGTGAAACTAAGAGAAAGACCTGTGTGTGTTTGTACCGGCAGTTTAGAGCGGGGGAGACGAAGCCAAGAGCTGCGTCCACACCGGCAGCTCAGAATGGGGAGGGGGGCGGGGGAGAGACAGTTGAGCTGTCTGTACCTGCAGTTTAGAGCTGGATGGAGAGACGCAGCTGAGCCGTACGCTGTTTGTTTTTAGCTTTTTAGCTAGCTAGTATTGCGCACAACTAATTAGCGTTACGCCATTACCGTCAGGTGGAGGGGGGTGCACAGTTGGGTTTAGTCATTTGGCACGCTCAGTTCTGTTAACGGGGCAGGGTGCTTGACGTATTACGTCATGAAACTAGCATATCATGATATAATTTATTTGCCTGGGCAAGATTTTTTTTTACCGGTATTATCGTGAACGATATGATATGGCCCTGCCCTAAATACTAATATACCAAAGTCATTACATCAGAATGCTAATATACCACTGCCACAACATCAGAATGCTTATATATCACGGCCATAACATCAACATTCTAATATACCACAGCCACAACATCAGAAGGGTAATATACCATGGTCACAACATTAGAATGCTAATATACCATGGCCTCAATGTCAGAATGCT